CTTGAAGCTGTGTGGACTTCAACTCCCAGAATTCCTTCCTGACTGGGGAATTCTGGGAGTTGACGTCCACCCAGCTTCGAGTGGCCAAGGTTGGGAAACTCTGTTTTAGATGGTTAATTGTTCTGTTATTTGAGAGAACTGTCTTAATTTGCTGGTGAAGAATAAAGGACTTCGCAAATGTTTAAGTACATTAAGATTTCAGGCAGATTTAAAGCTTCAAGTATCATGCAAGGTGCTGTTCTAATCTTATTTTGAGCAAAGATGTTGTGACTCTAGAAAGAGTGCAGAGAAGAGCAACAAAGATGATCAGGGGACTGGAGGCTAAAACATATAAGGAACGGTTGCTGGAATTGGGAATGTCTAGTTTAACGAAGAGAAGGACGAGGGGGGACATGATAGCAGTGTTCCAATATCTCAGGGGCTGCCCCAAAGAAGAGGGAGTCAAGCTATTTTCCAAGGCGCCTGAAGGCAGGACAAGAAGCAACAGATGGAAACTAATCAAGGAGAGAAGCAACCTAGAACTAAGGAGAAACTTCCTGACAGTGAGAACAATTAACCAGTGGAACAACCTGCCTCCAGAAGCGGTGAATGCTCCAAAACTGGAAGTTTTTAAGAAGAGACTGGACAGCCATCTGTCCGAAATGGTATAGAGTTTCCTGCCTGAGCAGGGGGTTGGACTAGATGACCTCCAAGGTCCCTTCCAACTTTATTATTATTATTATTATTATTATTATTATTTTTATTATTATTATTTTTATTATTATTACAGATATTAGTAAGTGAACTTCGAATGTTAGCATATGATTCCAGAATCAACCTCTTTCCTTCTCCCTGCTTTCTCCCTGTTTTCCCCTCCTCTGTCTGCATTTTCTTGTTGCATTTCACAGTTCTTCCCAAGCGGCCATGCCTTTGCCACTGGTTCAGATGATGCTACCTGTCGACTCTTTGATCTTCGTGCAGACCAGGAGCTCATGTTATATTCTCACGATAACATCATCTGTGGGATCACCTCTGTAGCTTTCTCAAAGAGCGGACGTCTCTTTTTGGCAGGCTACGACGATTTCAACTGCAATGTTTGGGATACCCTGAAGGGCGAACGTGCAGGTGAGTGAAAGCTGATAGGTTTAATAGGAGCCAGATTTAAGTGCATTAACCTCTCGCTTGTGACTGTTCCATGGGATGCCAGTTATGTGGCACACAAATTCATCGTTAAGCTGAGTCCTGGTTTTTGATCTCAAAGCCATAACTGTTAACAGTTTTCTTGAAGAGTGGTCTTTAAGTATAGCTGGGTTGATCAGTATGCCTCAGAAGTTATCCAATCATGGCCCTTCCCCTCTGGAAGTCCCTTCTATTTATGTATACTTGGCATCTTTAGTGCAGGTTTTTTTATATATATAAAAAGGAGAATGTGATGGCTCAGCGGTTAAAGGTGCTGAGTTTGTCAGCTGGAAAGCGGACAGTCCAGGTTGAAGACCAGAACACAATGAGCTCCTGTTACTTGCCCCAGCTCCTGCCCATCTAGCAGCTTGAAAGCATGCAGAATCAAGTAGATAAATAGGTACAACCTTGGTGGGAAGCTAACAGTGCTCCCTGTGCCTCAGTGTATAGCAGTGGTTCTCAACCTTTTTAATGCCGCGACCCCCCCAACCGGTCGTAAGTCGAGGACTAAACTGGTCGTAAGTCGAGGACTACCCAACCGGTCGTAAGTCGAGGACTTTCCCTGCCCGGGAGCGCCGCGCATGCGTGGTTCCGTCCCCTGCGCCAGCCGAGGCGTAGCTGGCAAGCGGCAGAGACGGAGCAGGCCGACCACCAGCTGGCCCAGCCCAAGGGAGGTAAGGCACCCGCCGGAAAAGGGGAAAAAAATGGCGGACAGCCTTGCTTGGCGACCCCTGTGAAATGGTCGATCGACCCCAAATGGGGTCGCGACCCATAGGTTGAGAACCGCTGGTGTATAGACTTGCTGGCCACATGACCACAGAAATGTCTTCAGACAATGCTGGTTCCTTAGCTAGGAAACAGATGAGCATCACCCCCTAGAGTCTGACATGACGGGCAGGGGTAGGCAACCTTGGCTCTTTTATGACTTGTGGACTTCAAAGAGTCATAAAAGAGCCAAGGTTGCCTACCCCTGGGCCAGGGGCAACCATTACTTTTTTTAAAAGAAAAAAAGTTACACATTTGTTACAGAAGTGTTTCAATCTTGCCTCGATTTTCACAACTGAAGTCAACTGTTCTTGTGTAGATTTTTTTTTTTTTGGGTACTTCAATCCATTCCCTGTCCTGTTGTTAAGGCATTTTATGTGAGAACGTACTTCTGAAAACGGAGATATAAATGCATTTGAGAACATGAGAATATGGTGACTCTTGTTTCTTAAAAGGAGATTGTTGAGGGCCGTTTGATTAAGTGCGGTGCTCTTTGACCCTTCAGGTGTTCTTGCTGGTCACGACAACCGAGTCAGCTGCCTAGGGGTGACTGACGACGGCATGGCAGTAGCTACAGGATCTTGGGACAGCTTTCTCAGAATCTGGAATTAACGTGGCGTTTGACACCTCCACCAATAGACACACGCACACCTTCTCCACTGAGATCTGGAGACAGCAATGCTGCAGCCTCTCGCTGTGAAATAACATTTCTACTTTGTATTTACAGGTGAAGTTTTTCTACTTGCTGATTATTGCATAAGTAGGCTTTCTGTAAATGAAGTTTAAACACACAAAAAGAATGAAGAAGTGGTAGGTGGGAGAAATCAGTGACTTTTTCTTTCAAGGAAAAAAAGAGAGAGGGCAGGACATCTGTTTGTGGTGAGCAAAGCTAAAAAAAAAAAAAAAAAAAAAAAAAAAAAAAAAAAAAAAAAGCCAAGTCAGTTAGCATTTCGTTCGGCTACATTTGCCCTGAAGGGATTTCTGCTTGTGCCCCAGTCCTGCTAATCCTGTACCTTTTTGTACATAATTGAATATACACATAGCAGCCAATCATGTAACATTTTGTCTGTAAGTAAAGGAACAATGTTTGCGATTTTTTTTAAAAAAAAGAAACTGC